GATTGGCAAAATTCTTACGGAATCGCGTTTCATAAATCATTCCGCCATTCCGCATGGTTACCAATCAATGCCTATATAAACGTACATGCAAACGTCAACACGTAACTTGGAATCTGTTAGTATGTAACATATATTTTCCGCATGGTTACCAATCAATGCCTATATAAACGTACATGCAAACGTCAACACGTAACTTGGAATCTGTTAGTCTGTAACATATATTTGACCCCAAAAGAAAACTCTGTAACGTATATATCTACGTCTGTCTCTACGTGTCAACATGCATGGTTTCGATTATCAACATGGTTGATGGTATAGTTTCAAAGGTTAACAGAAATAAAGAAAAGACCAGCAAGTGCACAAGAAAAAAAAAGACCAGCAAAATTAGTAAATGCTATGCGCATGTAACCCATCCACCCTCTTTGATATTCATCCTAGTGCGGAATACCACAACTGTACATAAATACAAAAATTCTATATTTTTTAATTTATCTTAAAATTTATAAGTTAACCACAATAAAAATCGAGTTTTCTGATAAATACTATTTACATATAAGTTTATCCTCTCTAGTGTTATTTAAAATATCTAACCATATTAATAATTTATATTAATGTATTCTAAATTTATTTTCGTAGTACATGGACATCAGTTATAATTTTTCAACGAGTAATTTGACAAACTTCATATACCACATATATCAAAGAACTAAATCTTATAAAATCTGTATTCTAGAGAAATTAAAACAACAAAAGAGTTAAACATCCTTGATCTCCATTATATATCTGTGCTGGATACATCTATGTATTAAAAGAAACGTACCATATTTTTACTTTATTTTGAAAACTTAAGTTAACCCTTACAAAAATATGAAATTTTCCGATAAATGCTATGTAGCGAAGTTTAAGCTTTTTCATGTTTACTTAAAAATACATAATCGCATTATACATTTATGTTAATGTATGGTAAACTTATTTTCATAGTATATGAACATTGTTTCTAATATTTTAATGAAAAATTTAATAAAACTTCATATCCCACCTAATTCAGTGGATTAACCTCCATAAAATTTGTAATTTCTGGAGAAACCGACCTCTTTAATTATAATCACATGTCATTGCATGATGAAATTGTTCATTAAAAAAATATCATTTTTTCTATTTTATCTTACGAAAGAATCAATTTGTTTTCTACAATAATTATTATATATACTAAAATTTAGCTTCAGTAATTTTTTTGACTAATTAACCACACTCTAATGTATAGTAATATATGCTAAATATATTTTCATGGTACATGGCCATCATTACTAATTTCTCATCGAATATTTTTATTTAAAATTCATATACTTCCTAATTAGTGGATTAATCCTTGTAAAATTTCTATTTTCTAGAGAAACGAGAACACTTAAGGTCTGAAAGACCCTTTAACTTTCATACTATGTCATTGCATGATGCAACTATGCATTAAAAAAATTTCATATTTTCTAATTTATCTTAAAATATATGGGTTAACCCCTACAAAAAAGTTAAATTTTCCAATATATATTATCTATACTATTTAGCCTCTTTAGTATTCTAAGAATTTTTTTTTCATGGTACATAGACATCATTTCTAATTTTCCAATTAATAATTTATTTAAAACTCATATACCGCATAATAAATGAACTAACTCTTATAAAAACTCCATTTTCTGAGAAACGAGAACATCTAAAGTCTTAACCCTTTTTTCTCCATATTATGTCTGTGCATGGTGCATCAGTTCATTAAAACAAAAATATTATATTTTTAATTTCTCTTGAAATATGTGTTAACTTTTACAAAAATATCGAGTTTTCCGATAAATGTTATATATAAGCTTCTGTAATTTCTATAGAAACATAGACAAATAAGATCTATAACCTATTTAATTTTTATCACATGTCAGTGCATGATGAAGTTATGCATTAAAATGTATCATATTTTCTAATTTATCTTACGAAAATATCCAATTGTTTCCAATAAATACTAAAAATACTAAAGTTTAGCCTCATTAATGTTCTTTTAAAATATCTAACCACACTCTAAATCTATATTCATGTATACTAAACATATTTACATGGTACATGGAACATCATTTCTAATTTTCTAAAGAGTAATTTTCTTAAAAATTAGATACATCCTAATTAGTGTACAAATCCCTATAAAATTTCTATTTTCTAGAGAAACGAGATCACTTAAGGTCTTAAACCTTTTTAATTTTCCTACTACGTCAGTGCATGATGCACCTATATATTAAAACAAAAATATCATATTTTCTAATTTTTCTTGAAATATTTTGGTTAACACCTACATAAAGGTTGAAGTTTTTGATAAAACGCTATCTATAATATTTTGCCTTTTTGGTGTTGTTTAAAATACCTAATCACACTCTAAATTTATATATATGTATGTTAAACTTATTTTCATGGTACATGAACATCATTTCTAATTATTTTATTGAGTAATTTATTTATACTTTATATACTATCTAATAATTATATAGGCTAACCCCTATAAAAACTTTTTTTTCTGGCGAAACCGGAACACCGAAGATCTCAAACCTCTTTAATCTCCATACTATGTCATTGCATGATGGAGCTATGCATTAAAACAAAATACCATATTTTTAAGATATCTTACAATATGTTATATATACTACAAAAATATCAAATTTCTCATAAATGTTATATATACTAAATTTTAGCTACTTTAGTTTTGTTTAAAACTACTTAACCACATTTAAAATTTATATTAACAGACTAAACGTATGTTCATGGTACATGGGAATCAGTTCTTATTTTCAACCAATGAATTAATAAAACTTTATGTACCACCAAAGTCAATGAAATAAACCCTATAAAATTTATATTTCCTATAAATATTTAGACAACTGGGATATCAAAAATCTTTGATATTCATCATATATCAGTGGTGGATGCAGCTATGAATAAATAAAAAATTTCAATTGTTCTAATTTATATTGAAAGCTGTGGATTAACCCCTATGAAAAATTGAGTTATTCTAATAAATGATATTTGTCCTTAATTTTAGTCTCTTTAGTGTTGTTTAAAATATCTAACCACATTAATAATTTACATTAATGTATCCTAAATTTATTTTCACGGTTCATGGAAATCATTTATAATTTTCAATCGAATAAGTTAATAAAACTTTATATACCAAGTAAATCAAAGAACTAAACTCCATGAAATATTTATATTCTAGAAAATTAGGATAACAAAAGTGTCACACATCCTTGAACATTCATCCATTATATGTGCTGGATGTATCTATGTATTAGAAAACGAGTACCATATTTTTTAATTTAACCTGAAATTTGTGGGTTAACCCTTACAAATAGATCAATTTTTTTTCCAATGCTATATATTGAAATTTAACCTCTTTCTTGTTGATTAAAAAAATACCTTATCTTATTATACATTTTACCGATGTATGTTAAACTTATTTTCATGGTTCATAGGAATCATTTTTAATAATTTATTGAGTAATTTAATAAAATTTCATATTTCACCTAATTTTGTGAACTAACCCCTATAAAATCTGTAATTTCTATAGGAACATGGACAAATAAAGTCTCAGATCTATTTTTTTTTTATCACATGTGAGTGAATGATGAAGTTATGCATTAAAAATACCATATTTTTTAATTTTTACGAAAATATCCAATTTTGTTTCCCAATTTTGTTAATTGTAACTTTGTCACAGCTTTTTTGTCAACACTTCTATCACAGTTTTTTTTGGTAATCTATGACAGTTAATACTATTTCTTATGTTAAGCTAAAAATGTTTTCATTTGATGTGATTTTTTACACTGAGCAATAGTTTTTTTTCTGTCACCAACAAATGTCTTCTGACCAAGGATTCTACCGCGACTGAGAGTAGTATAGTACATAGTGAACTGATCTACCGACATTGGTTAATATTTTAAAAAAGTTGATACCTTATTTTTAGAAAGAAACAAAAAATAAAGTGAAACGTTACGTCTTTTCTGTCTCCAGCTAGGTAAATTGAAGATTAACGTACTATTTTTCTCTTAAAAGAAGGTACTATTTTCTCCTTTAATCTTGTGTGTTTCGAAGAGGAATCAGGTATATTTTAATAAGAAAATAAAAACGGTGCGTCCAATAAAAGAAGCGACAAAAGTTGGAGTACGAAAGCACAGGTTAAGAGGAATTAGTGGCGGTCACGTGGGCTCTTTCTTAACAAAACTGTAACTCCTCAGAGAGATGGCACGCACCCATCACGTTAGGTCGACTTGCTAGCACCGTCACATCATGGCTCCACTCCACGCGCTACACAGGCCATAGGGGTTTCTGGAGTCTACTACCTTGGCTGGAATAGAATGTTCTTTGTTCTTTTGCTTACTATGCGAAGACATCACGAGCTATGTTCACTGTTTGCTTACTATTGAATTCCGGACCTGAAGATGTTTTGGTTATTTGCTTTGCTGGAATAAAACTAAATATATAATATATGAGCAAATACACATATTATCATTTGTTTTGTTTTTAATAAGCATATATGGTGTAGAAGTGTATATGTTGTCCATATTCATATAAACTAAACTGGATTATCCACATTGTATCAAAAAAGTATAGACTTTGGGAATTTATTTTTGTATTTAGTGGTGTAATCTAATGTGGGATTTTTTTTGATTAGTTTTATTTTATATGATTGATACTACGGGCCACCGTTTAATTTCTAGCAACACATGATGGACACAAAATTATTTCAGAATAAATAATCACAAACTTTAAGAAAAAATAAAGAGTTAATCATAACACGATTGACAAATTTACACCAATGTCATGATTAAACTAAGGGAACATTTTATTCGTGCAATAAATGGAACAACCTATTTTGATAGATGCAAGAAAATAGTGCTTCACCTAACTATTAACAATTCACCAATAAAACTCTGAACAATGTTCTACTTTTTTGTGATGAGAAGAATGGGTTTATGTTAGGTAACTACTAAAGTTATTTATAAATTAACATCTATAAGTAAGGGACTATCGATATAAAACTCTGATCAATGTTCTGCTTTTGTGATGACAAGTATAAACGTGGCGTTTTTTTCTTTTGTGTATTACATAGCAGTAACGTGGTAATACCAGGACTGGGTAATACTAGTAAAGTTATTAACAAAAAAAATATCATCAAGACTATAAGTAAGGGAATATCGATATGAATTCCACTGTTCTTCCACAAGTTTCCAACTATTTTAGTAGCTGAGGTGGTATTGCATATAACTATTCTTATTTATAATATCCACTAGAAACAACCCGTAATTGCCGAGTTCTTTTTAATGTCGATTACACTTGAAAGGATAGAGCTGCACAGTAAAAAGAGAACCACATGCATAGAGAGACAGCAAAGGCCACATGTATCCACTTAATCAAAAATGTACCCTTTAGCGTTTGCGGTTTCTTTGTTACATTATGGAACATGCATTTGGATTCTCATCGCTGAATAGTTGAGGCGAATATGCATGAGGAGGATATGCATGAGGAGGATATGCTTGAGGAGGGTATGCATGGGAAGGATATGCATGGGAAGGATATGCATGGGAAGGATATGCATGAGGAGGATATGCATGGGGTGGATAGGCATGAGGATAGGCTTGAGGCGGCATTGCCATTCTTGGCGGTTGGTAATAATAGAAATATGGATTCTCTATCTTCCTCACGTCCACAACTTTTCCCTCTTCCTCTCCACCACCTCCGCCACTTTCCGCCGCTTCACCACCACCTTCTCCTTTGCCGCCATCACCTTCTTTATTCTCTTCATTCATCTTTGCCTTTTCTTCCTTCCCTTCCTCGCCTTTGGATTCTCCACCACCATTTTCTCCTTTTCCTTCTTCCTTCTTCTCTGCTTCCGCGGCGGCAGCCGCTTCCTCAGGTGGAGGTGGAGGTGGAGGGTCAATTTTCATAATCGCAGCATGTTTTCCAGTGCGCTTGTAAACATATTCTACTAGCTTTTGCGGTTCAAACACTCCTTTCACCGTCACTTGAGAAGCTTTCAAATCGGATTCAGCTGATTCCACTCCTGAAAGTTATTTTGTTTCAAACAAAAATGAATAAGAAAAATAAATTATACTAAAGGCTAAATCCATTTTGACCCCACAACATATATAAAAAACGATAACATTGCATATGCTTTCAAAAAGTTAGAATGACTATAAATAATTATAATACATGTGCATGTGTTTTAAAGTTGAAGCAATATCATCTAGATTTGTAATTGTATGGACCAGATTTGATACGACTAAAGAACTAACGAAAGCTGTTAGTCAGAAAAAGAACTAATGAAAGACAATATAAAGTTGGTGACAAGTGGATGAATATGCAAGATACTGAAACGTTTTATCTACCGATGATAATTAGGACAAGACAATAAGATGAGCTAGATCCACCCAAAAAACATATTTTTCATTTTAATGATTATCTTTATCACTTTTCAGTAAATTTCCTTTAAAAGTTTGAAGTGTTGCTCTCACAGATAAAAGCTAAAGTTTTTGATTTTCACAAAAATGCAATATGAATGTCTATATAAAGGTTCAATATCTTAACTAATACAAGATATAAGATTATATAAACGAATCAGTAGAAAAAAAAACTAACCTTTCATTCTCATGATCCGTTTCTTGATCTCCGTCGCACAAGCTTCGCAATGCATGTGAACCTTGAGGACCACCGTAACCACTACAGGAGCCTGATACAAAAAAAACGGCGGGGAAAATTTTTAAATAAAACTATTATGTAACTAAAAAGTGTGACTATGTTTATATAAAAAATTTATTTCACTGAAATTTTTTTTTGGTTATAATTATTAAAGTAAAAAGTTAAAAATCATTTTGGAAATACAAATGAATGATTCTATTATAAAGAATGACAAACTCTGTTTTAGAGAAAGAAATAAGGTATGTTGTAGTAAGTTTTCTCTATTATAACATTTAGAATAAAAAATAGATTTATGAATTGGAGATGTTCTCAGTCCAAATTTTGTATATGTAAATTAAATAAAAATCTAGTTTGATTAGGTAGCGTAAATTTTTATCACTTCATTGTTTTTGTGATTGAATTCTAATGAAGCTAAAATCTTTATATTTTATTTTGGTGAATGAAAAATTGATATTGGAGTCAAATTAACCTAGTTAATTTCATTAAACTATCAAATAAAAATATATCAACCCTTCTTAGCAAAAAAAAAAAAGAAAAATCAACCGTACCAGTACAGCCCCATGTGAATTCACTGGAAAGAGAGAATATTCCCATTCTAACTAAATGATATATTAATCATTAGTTACACTAAATAATAATAATAATAATAATAGAAAACATATAAATATTCATTTCATTATCCTCAAAAAAGCAACCCTAAAAACTACCTCTGCTTTTTAAAATATCAAAAATACTAAACAAACAAAAAAATACAATAAAGAAAATTACCTCCACTTTCTTCTCTTCCACTTTGGGCTTCTCCTCCTCTGCTTTCTTCTCCGCCGGCTGAGATGGCGGAGGAATAGGAGAAAGAAGCACCACTTCACGGTTGTTCTTCCTTTGAACTCTGGCTAATACTTTCAATGGATCAGCCTTTTCTCCCTTCACCACCACTTTACTCGTTTTACAGTCAGTTGTCACATCTTCCACTCCTAAATCAATCATACCAAAAATCCAAGATTCAACTCATATTTTTACCATGTTCACCAAAAAAACAGAAATTTATACTTTGATTGTTTCTTATATTAATTTATAATACTAATACGTAAAAGCATAACAAAAACTTTATGTGGCCTACACACAAAATATATTTCGAATATTAATTCTACTTATACACCAAAATAACCAAATATCTGTAGTTGGCAGAAACAAGAGAAAGTTACAGTAATTTTCCTATTTGGTGCTTATTTAGTGTCTAATTTGTTTGAAAGAAATTCAAATGGAAAAATATGTTTAGAGTGTTTGTTTTGTACTTTTAAACGAATCACAAGATTAATCATCTTAAACAATAAATTTGTGGTGTAAAAAAAAATATTGCAAACATTGGATTTTGTGAAAATATTCTATAAACAATGAAAATGTATTATTTTCTTTACAGAATATTACATGTAGACAAAAATGCAAAACTGATATAAATATGTATTCTGTATACGTGAATATAAATAAATAAAACTTAAAAAAAGAAGAAGATATAAATAAGTATGGATTCTTTATACATACCTTCGAAGCCTTTGAGGCAACGGCGGACCTTTCTAGCGCAGCCTTCACAATGCATGTAAACTTTAAGGACAACCTCTTGCGGCGGTGGAGGTGGCGCTGGAGCCTCCGGAGGAGAATCTTCTTTGGGATCTTTAGTAGCTTCTCCTTCTTCAGTTTTCTTTTCAGAATCTTCTTCTTTTTTCTCACCAGCCTCCACTTTCTTTCCTTCTTCTTTTTTCTCCTCTTCTGGTTTCTTTTCTTCCATTTTCTTCTCCTCTGGTGCTTCTGGTTTCTTGTCTTCCTGGAACCAAAAATAATAATTAGAGTCTTAGTTAGAATAAAATTATTCATTGAGATTTGAAAAGATGATATAAGAGTTTGGGATTATCTTGAACCTCTCCCATTTTTTCTTTGTTTTGGCTAAGTTTTGAGTGTTTCTAAGTTCACAAAAATTGTAATGCCCAAAGAGAAGCTTATAAATCTCTCTCACGCTCTCTCTCTCTCTCTCTAAAGAACCACTTGGGTGTTGGTACAAAGGTGGAACTGTGGACCTCAAGATCTGAAAAGAATTGTAAATTATTTTGTTTTATTCCCTTTTAAACATGACTTATACGTGAATCTGTTGGAAGTTAATTGATTACTAGTTTAGTACGTAATTTTATATTTCATTTAATAGTTTATCAGTCAAAATACACCTAATACTCACGCAATATGTGTTTTCTCTTATATGAGTTAAACTGTCAAAACGCAATTCTAGTTCTCGAGATTGGCAGTTAATGAATTGACCACTCACATATATTTTTAAAAATATACCTTAGATTTTAAATACAGTATGTTTAATTAAAGGTTTAAATATTTTATATAGCCATGGCTGTGCATTCTTGAAATCTATTCAAATTGGGCGTTTCCAATGTGGAAACCGAATTCATTTCAGAATTATTTACTGTTTCAAGTATTCAAAAAAAAAAAAAAAAATTGGTTGATATATAATTACATTAAGAAAAAGTTTAAATATAAATATCCTTGCTAGTTTTCAATAGTTTCAATTTACTTCATCAGTTTCTTAAAAAAGTTACTTTAGCATTTTAATTTTATTTTACCAAAAAAGTGCCGCTTTATGTTTTTGATGCAAATCAGTAAACAATTTCCATTTTTAACTTCACTAATCTAATGTATTAGATTGAAGATATGATTTTTGTGAATGTATTAATGTGAATAAAAATAACATTTTACTAGTTTTTTAATTTATGTGAAAAAAAAAAATGATACTTTTTTATGAAACAGAGAGTATAATTAATTCTAAACAATGAAATACACTTAATCATAAATATTTTAAATTTCATATGGAAATTTTATCTTTGTAAGTTTATTTTGTTAGGGATTAGAAATAAACCATGTATGCAAAATATATATTCTCTCTGTTCTAAAATGATGTATGTTTTAAAATTTTCATAAATATTAAAAACATGTTAAATTTTGTCTATAGTTATTGTTTTGTGATTAGGTATTTTCTTAACACAATTAACATATTTGAATTTTACAATTTACTCTTTGTTTCATTTCCATGAACTGAAAATGTAAAAAAATGTATTTACAAACAAATTGTTTTCTTAAAACAGTGAATGGAATACAAAATAACTTTTACACTATATATCTACCTAATGGAAAGAAAAAAAAAATAGTTCTTTCAATTTATAGAGAACTTCTTTAATTAGTCTCGAATTTTATACTGAATATGCATGAATATATATACACACAATTGAGTAACGAAAAATACATGCTATTAACATGATGTTCATGGTGAAGTGAACAAACACGGCAGTCGTGATAACAACTAATACCTATGGGCGTTGTTGCTAAACATAAAGTTTCAGTGAGCTTTTATTTTAAAATTCAATCTACAAAAGGGAGAACAATGGTGACATAATGGCACATGTTAACCTTTAATCAATACAGCACACGCATATATATATATATATATATATATATATATATATATATATATATGATATTAATTATTTAAACATAATTAATCACCAACTTTAAAAAGTTGAATATTCTTGTCATATTGACTAACTATGACTGAAATCATTGTGAAAGTACTCTAATCAGTCATCAGCGTAACCAACGTGTGTTAGTGTTCATTTTGTGCGGAAAAACAATATTTTTACTGATGAATTTGGTTAATCTATATAGATAAGAAATGGTATCATGAAACTACTAATTCTACTTATCGTTCTTAGAGTAAATAATTAAAATCCAGTCTATGAATATTTTTCTATAAGATAATCTATCTCTGTATTTGTTTAATTAGGCTTCTTTCGCCTAAAACTAATCTAGAAGTATGTTGTCAAATTGATTTCTTACATCAACTTCTAAGTGCAAGTTTTCTTTCCTCTCCCAGATAGTGGTTAAATAGAAATTGTTTTGTTTTGTTACCTCAACTAAAAAGTTTAGATGATGTTTTCCTTTTTGAAATAAGAAGATCATGGTCGGGTTATTGGTTGAGAACGATGAGAAATTAAATCCTTGATAAAATTGTCTTGTTATTCTTTTCTTCTAGGACAAATACTTGGTAACTTTTAGTCTAATTAGGTTATTAGTTGAATTTAGGCTAAATGAGTCACTTAAGTTAACTACCTAAGAGCATGTACATTGAGGGTTCATAAGGGGTTTATAGGGGGGTTCACACAGTTTTCTAGATGAACAGTGATGAACTTTTCTCTCCAAAAGTTCATCCCGGTGAACCCCAAGAGGATGGAGTTCACCACGTGTCGGAAGGAGATTAGTTCAATTAATTTTTTTTTATTTTATTTTTAAAAAAAATCTGACAAAAAAAAAATAATAATAAAATATTACAAAGATGAACGCCAAGAGGATTCATTGATGTACATGCTCTTATTGGTTATCTTGGTCAAAGTTAAAATCAAATGTATTTTCTTTTTAGTCCATATATTTATACTAATAGTCACAAATGCAGCGTATTTAGACATTTGTTTTCCAAGACTAAATACAAAATCTTAGAAAGAAATACTCAGAAAAAAAGAGAGTTACAAATCATAGAGGGGTCGCTGAAGTGGTTAATATGAGATGTAACAGGGTTAGGAACAATTAAGCACACCAATTTACCTTTTTTACAATGTCAAGTTAATTTTCTACAACTTCGGAATATCAGTTGCGTCCCCTACTTATAATACAAATTTGTCGCTAGTTCTACCAGCACGGCAGCACCTATATGTTTACCATCATCTACATGATTTCTGAGTGTTCGCTAGTGTTATATAACCAAATATAAATTGTTAGCAAGCCAATGACGAGTTTAAAAATGAGTTTGTTTTCATGGAATATTGATGTTATCACCTCAATTTTCCCATGCATTGAATCCTGACGTGGCGCCAGGTAAGACTTCACACGTTGGTGCAGGAACTTTGGTACGCACTGTGGGACAAAGTTTTGCATTACCAAGGCTTACACATGGACTTGAATTCCTTCTCTTTTTTTTTCAACTTAAAAAGAATATCATTCATACTTTTTTCCTTGTTTCTTTTTAAAATCCAAACATGAAACTGAAATACGTTACAAAACATAACAAACATAATTTTACAGACCAAAACATGCTAAAAATAGTGCTAGAAACAATTACTGATATCTACGAAAAGCAAAAATTAATTGTTGCAAGTGCTAACTTCGCAATTTCTAATTTTATTGGTGTAAAAAATGGTGAGAAGTCAAGTGACGAAGTTAATACTTAGAAACTTATGATATAGCTGATATAGTAAAAATGCGAATGGTTATCTGATCATTCCTTATGTTTTTGGGCACTTAAAAAGTACTAGAAACTGAAGCTCATCAGCACTGTGATACCAGAAGAGGCTCTGAATTTCCTTAGAACATTTCATATGTATAACTAACTTAATTTGATTTTTCTCCCAATTTTCTTTTTTTCAGAATCCTTTTTAGATACTTTATTGTGGTAACAAAACATTTAACATTTTCCAGATTTTCCATACATCTAAGACGTAAAATAGCTAGATGAATGTATGGTGGGATAAAGTATACACAAATCTTTTGCAAAAAAAAAAAAGTATACACAAGTCATTAGACACATCTAAAAATTCGATGATTTCCATTTTAGTTTTTTAATCAGTTGACGAAAAATACCCAAATTGGTATTAGTAGAACCGGTATCCTCATATTTTCAATATCCAGTTTGATGAAAAATGAATTTTTGTCGCTCTTTTATGGCAGTGATATAAATGATGGATATGGTAAATTAAATGCTTTCAGCAGAGAAAACAAATGCAAGAGCTGACGCAGAGTCAGCCATAGTAATGACGTAACGACCGTTTTGTTGGCTCTCTTTTTTTTTATCCATCCACATCATTCTTGCGTTGTGCCCACCTCAAACTCAACGGTGGAAGTTGTTGGTAATACTAAACAGTCTTTCAGAAGTTTTTAGTCAAAAAGAATGTGATAATAATGACCTAAATCCATTATTACCATGAACAAAAGTTAACTATGGTAATTATAATCCTCCTTCATCTAACGCACTTTGATTATTTATTTTCAAAGTGGTATGAATTAATTACTATATTTGTTTGTTACGTGGGGTTTTTTCTTATTTGCCATTTTTGTAGTAGATATGCGTGGAACTGTAAAATTACATGGTGATTTTAATGCAATGATACTTAGGTTAGAAAAAATAATCACATAACAAACGTTCAATATAACCACATGGTGATGATGATCTAACAGCATATACAAATTATTGGTTTTGAGCAATTTGAATTAAAAGATATTCCACTACACTTTATCTTATATGATCAAGTCGATACAAACATGTTATTTATGATCTATTTGAATATTCAGATTTCAGAGAATTTTTTTTTATCCGTGAACTGTTCTTTTGTTTGAAAATTACTCTGGATCTTTTATAAACACGACATATTTAATGTTAAGCAAAATAAAACTTTGAAAATAATATCATTCAGATCATCAACTCTATAGGTTTATATGTATAATAATTTTGGCATGTGTTTGATATAAACTCTTTGATATATAAGATCTCCTACCAAATGTTATATGATCTTGGTAGTTTAACGTATATACGTACAACGCCATCGATCTAAACGAACAATTTTTAACCATATGCTTAAGCGTATATATGTAAATGTTTGAGAGTATACACGTAATTTTATACAGCTCCATAACACAAATCACCTGATCTGAAGTTGGATTGGAGAAATACATTGAATTGATAGTACTAGATGATAGGGTCATCCCCTGATATTAGTTGAAAGGTATTCAAAATTTGAGTCAGGCGGTATGGTAGGTAGTCCACTCTACAACACTAAGACCATCTTTAACGCATAGATTCTTTAAAAAGAATTATGATTTTTTTCTTTTTTTTAGTCTGAAAAAAAAATCAATCGGGTCAGACCCACAAAATAGTACAATAATCGATCACTAATTTATAGTTTTCATTATCATTCCTACAATTTTTTGCTTCTTTTTGTGGAGTCCACATGCTAATAATCCTTTTAAGGACCCTGTTTTAAAGATGGTCTAAAGACATCATTATTCCAAGAAATTCCACTTGGGTTTCTTAATTTTTTATTTTATCTAAAAAAATTAAAAACGAACCAATCACAGATCACCACGTGTCAGTGAAACCTGCGAACAGTGTAAAAAACCCATAAGAATCGGTTCTTAATTTATAGTTTTTGTAACCGATTCTTATACTGTTCATGAGACCCATATAATAAAAATCCCCTAAAAACCCTCTAAAACCCTTAATAATCATCAAGCGTATTTTTTCCGGTATCGTCTGGATCAACCGATATGGTTTATAAAAAAAATACAATGAATCATGCAACATGCACACTCACGAGGCTGGTCGCTTTTGGTAACGCATTTTGGAAGAAAAAAAACAATAGACATCCTAAAAAACCAATAACATGCACTTTAATGAAACAAATGCTGAGATTGGAAACAATATTCTCCGTTTCAAAACTTATTATAATGAACAGAACCAAAGATACTTTGTGTCTGAATCCAAAACAAGTACATTGTGACAGATTAAAGATAAGATTTCTTATCTCAATGTTTAGTGGGTTTTCTTCTTTTATTCTGTCTTGTCAGTTGTGATATCTGAATAAGTTTCCATTATATTCAGTTTAGCAACTCCAAATTGAAAGACAGTAAGTAGACTTGTTCCACTGCAGTTTGACAAATAAAAAAGTGAAGGGAACTACTATTCATTTAGTTATCTAGATTGATTTGTATGTTAAAAACATATTTTATCATATAAAATGGTGTAAATGTAAGTGATATTGATTATATTACATTCAAAAAGAATCATAAGAATAAACTTAGGAGGTGTTAGTAGAAATTGAATTTATAATGATTCTTAAAACTTTCAAGTCTAATATTATTGGTTTATAGATTTTCACCTTCTAATTATTAAAATCTAGTGTTATTGGTTTAATGATTCTATAATCCTATACAAAATTATTTGTTATTAAAAAAATTGAGATTTTAATGATTCTACAAATCTATTAAAGTAAGTGTTATTAGGAGTTTAATTCTTAATAACTTAACTTACAAAACAAGATTTTGAAAATATTACATGTTTCCCTTAAATTCTTAAAATCATTACATAATTTTATTTTCATAGATTTTTATAATATACAAAATTCTCTATAAATCTTTCCACATTTAACAAATCTCTTAATTTTTAAAATCAACAAATTCTATAAAAATCAAAATCCCAACACCCTCTTAATGGGTGTTCTTAACTAAATGGGTGTTCTTAACTAAAGGTTCTCAATATATATATGTATATTGAAAAACTTAGTTTTGAGAATCCTCCATTGGGGGCGATCTAAGATCTAATAAACAAATCATTATTTTTCTTGGATTTTTTGTATTTGTTTATAATTTTTTTTTTTTTTTTTTTTGTGAACAAACTTATAATTTGAAAATTAAATAAACTTTTACCAATCATTAAAAAGCCCACAAATAAGAAGGACAATATATATTGGGCTTATTTATAAAAAGCCGAATACAATTTGTAAAACAAAAAAGCCCAAATACATTCACCGGAAAAAAGAAAACAAATAAATTATAATCTCACAGCGGAAGTGATAGACGAAGAAGAAGACGATGGAGAAATCGAAGAAGACGGACATGTCGTTCATCGTCTCCATGAACGACGACCTTCTACAGAACATTCTCCTGAGATTACCTGCGAAACCGTTTGCTTTCGCTTCCTGCGTTAACCGATCGTGGAACATCGTCTGCAATCACATCCTCTCTCGCCCCAAATTGGTTTCCGCTTTCTCTAGAAACCCTAATCAACTCGTAAGCTGAGAAAATCCTAATTATGATATGTGAGCAATGGAGAAGCATAGATTGGGAATAGCCTAGGTAGTTAGTTCAATTGGAAAAAGATTATGATCTTAGAGGTTAGAGGTTAGAGGTTCGAGTAACAGTTAGGACAAAAATAATATTATATGATGTGGTTTTGGCCTCCAAATCTTTTGGTTCTGAAAGAAAAACAAAAAACATAGATTGATGTGTGATAAATCACATTGAGAATTGGCACAACAAAGACATAAAATGTAATGTTTAGCGTAATGGTGTGTGTTGATGTTTTATTTTTGATACTCCATCCGTTTCAAATTATATGTCATTCTAGAGTAAAATTTTCGTTTGACACTTATTCGTTTCAAAATAAGTGTCGTTTTATAATTTCAATGCAAAATTGATTGATTTTAAATGTCATTCTATTTTTTCATTGGTCGAAAAGTGGTTAGGTGCATAGGTAATTGTGTTTTTATTTTGGAAATATGTAAAATTAATTATTTTCTTAATCTGTGTGCAAAAGCTTAGAATGACAACTAAATTGAAACGGAGGGAGTACCAAGAAGCTGTGGTTTGGAGCCTAAACTAATATTTCCTCTGTTTCAATTTACATGTCATTGTAGAGTAAAATTTTAGTTTTAAAATAAGTGTTGTTTTATAATTTCAATGCAAAATTTATTAACTTTATATGTTATTCTATTTTTTCTATTGGTTGAAAATTGATTAGCTGTATAATTAATTGTATGTTTTATCTTGAAAATATGTAAAATTAAATGTTTTCTTAATCTGTGTGTAAAAACTTAAAACAACAACTAAATGAAACAGAAAACAGAAAGAGTATTAAATGTTGTGGTTTCGAACATAGGGAAACTAATGTTGTTATATTAGGAACAGAACTAATATTACATAGTGTAGTTTCGAGCCTCTGAACCTCTTGGTATTAAAAAGAAGAGCATACATTGATGTGTGATAAATCACATTGAGAATTTGGCACAGCTAAGAAAAGTGTAATCTTTAGTCAGTGTAAAGATGTGTGTTGATGTTAGTTTCTTGATGTCGTTGTACAGAAAGCTGCACAAGAAGTACTTGATAAAGCTTTGTCTGAGCCAATTCGACCAGATTTCGTCATTGCAAATATGACATCTGGGAAAATGGAAGAAACTTTGAGTCTGGTATATGCTTATTCATTTACCATTCCACCTTTGTGTCTATTTGATTCTAATGTTGTTAATAATGAGCATGATGTGTATGTATGTAGATAACTAAAAGAGTAGGATCAAGGGTTCCTGTTGTTGTATCTCTAGTTGGTGGAGTATTAGGAAAAGAAGCGTGTAATGACAAGGCTGGAGAGGTTTTGACTGTTTTCCATATCTTCAAGAATGATTTGAGTTTTGTTTTCTAAGCTTATATCATGTTTACAGGTCACACTGTATGACGAGGGACCGCAGAGTTTTGCTATACTGTTGACCGTTGGCTACTTGCCAGGAATCAAAGTCGATGTTATTCCTGTAATTCAAGCAAAAGAGGTATATATATATATCTAATAACCTTTCTGTGTCCTCAACATTTTCTCATTGTTTCATATATAGAAAAAGAAAAGTAGAACTCAAGTGAACAGCTAGTTTAGTGGTCTATCTATGTATCATAAATGCTTATTCTTTATGAATAGAGTTGGTATCTTTGCAGGAAACTGAAGCAATGATTGGAGATAGATTCGTGATGGATATTAGGAATTTTGTGTCTGCGGTTTCAGATCAAGCTGCACCAGCCTGTCTTATGCTCTTCGGGGTGAACTATACTTTTCTTTGGCTTCCACTTGTGTTATACGTGTGGATTGTGTTCAATTCTATACTTATGTGTGTTTTGTCTCTTCATGCTTTGCATTATGTAGGAGGGTACTTATGCCACAGAACCTATCATTCGAAAATTGGGTATGAGTACAATTTTTATAACCAAAAATATTTATCTTCAGTGACTTATTGAAACATTTCATTTATTTTTTTTGCTGTTATTGTAATGTAACCTGTTTGCATTGCAGACTATGCCATGCCCCCAGAAACTATTATTGTGGGTAATCAAAAGGGAGAGTTCTTACATAAACGTGCTAATGAATCAAGAAATGTTCAGCTGCCGCATAAAGACGAGAGCAGAGTTCTTGCAGGTCTAATCTTCGCAAGAGATAGACACAAACCCATTCGTAAGTGTCTGTGCTTTAAAACCAATGCTACATCAAGACACATTTGTTGTGTTTCTTAAGTTGTTGGCATATATGAAACAGAGGCTGGGAGAGTTCAGTTTCACACTGCAATATCAAGAGGAGTGTCATCAGTTGATTTGAGTTACAAGGTGGCTAATGCCATTTACGGTCTCCCTAAATGTCCTGCTACACTTATGACTGCAAAAAGAATTGGAGAAGCAGAGGTTCTTAATGGTAATCAAATTCTAGATGACATAGAAGCAAATCAGGTACGCATCTGAAACCTCTCTTTATCTGTTCTGAGGTCTTAGTAACTAAAATGATGTGAAATCCAGTTAGGAAACCCTCTCAAGGAGCCTGGTCTATACATTGGAGTGATAAAACGAAGAAAATACTATGTTGGTTTAGAGCAGAAGCCAAAGATCATGTCCTCACTTGTGTTTCATGAAGTTACTGGGTAAAAAGATTCACAAGTTTCATTACATGAAGTGTTCTATAAAATTAGAACAAAACAATTTTCTCAAATCGATTTTTAAAAGACATTCGAAAATCGTTTTAGACGCCTTCCCAGCCATTTTTTTGAATATTGAATCAGTTACATTTAACCCATTTTGGTTTTATTTATTCGTTTTGGTTGTATTCAGAGCCGATGAACAGTATCTTTTAGTCAGTGGCGCTGGAATCAAAACCTGTGACCAGTTCCAACCTTACATCCCTGATCTTAAAGTGGCTGAAGCATCACTAAGCGATGTTTCGTCTCAGCTTAGAAACATCGTGTCCAAACCGAATAAACGGGAGGTTGTTGGAGGTTTTGTTTTCGCTGGTATTGGACGTGGTGAGTCTTTCTTTGGTCGGTTAAACGCAGATAGCTCACCGTTTTTGGAGAACTTCCCGGAGTTGCGTTTTGGTGGTGTGTTCTGCGACGGTGAGATTGGAAGAAGCTTGTCCGGGGAGGAGGGAGAGGAGAAGGAAGAAAGTTGTAGACAGAGATGTCTTCATGTTGTTAGTTCTGTGTATCTTATTGTCTCGTATGCATGTTCTTAATCTAACATGTCTGTTTTTTTTTTGATGTATTGAAGAGAGTTTAAGACTATTTTAAAAACTTTTATAAAGTTATATAGGTAAATTTAAAAGATATTGTTTAATCATAGTCAATTCTTTTGTATTGTTGAAATTCTACCGAACTGAAACCGAAAACCAAAAATGTCGATTCGGTTCGGCTGGTCTGGTTCTGACAATATCATAAAACTCGAAATTTTCTGTCAAAATCATAAAATCAAGTTTCCCGCCAAAATTTCAAAAATCGAGATTTTATGTCAAAATCATAAACTCAAGATTTCCCGCAAAATCGTAAAACCAATATTTCCCGCCAAAATAATAAACTCAAGATTTTCCACGAAATCAATATTTCTCGCCAAAATCGCAAAATCGAGATTTCTCACCAAAATCATACAATCAAGATTTTCTGTAAAATCGAGATGTCCCGCATAATCGCATAACAGAGATTTCTCGCCAAAATCTAAACTCGAGATTTCCTGCGCAATTCACAAAATCGAGATTTCTTACCAAAATCATAAATTCAAAATTTTCCGCAAAACCGAAATTTTCCGCCAAAATTGCAAAATCGAAATTTCTCACCAAAATCAGGTTATAAATTTATATTAATTTATTTTAAATTTATTTCATCGTACAAGAGCATCGTTTTGAATTTTTGAATGAGTAATTTAGTTTAAGTTCATATACCACTTAATCAGTGGATTAACCCCAATAAAAAAAAAGTTCTTGGAGTAACTGGAACACCTAAGCTCTCAAACCTCTTTAATATTCATACTAGGTTAGTGCATGATGCTTCTATGCAGTAAAACAAAAATATCATATTTTTAATTTATCTTGAAATATGTGGGTTAACCCTTACGAAAAGATCAAATTTTTAGATAAAAGGTATAAATTGAAGTATTGGCTCTTTGTTGTTGATTAAAAAATACCAAATCAGGTTATAAATTTATATTAATGTACATTAAATTTATTTTCTTGGAAAAACATGAACACCTAAGGTCTAAAACCTCTTGAATATTCATACTAGGTCACTGCATGATGCTTATATGCAGTAAAAAAAAACAATATCTTATTTTTTAATTTATTTTGAAATATGTGGGTTAATCCTACGAAAAGATCGAGTTTTCCGATAAAGGCTATAAATTGAAGTTTAGGCTCTTGATTGTTTATTAAAAATTAACAAATCCGGTTATAAATTTGAATTAACGTATTTTAAATTTCTTTTCATGATACAAGAGCATCGTTTTGAATTTTTGAATGAGTAATTTATTTTAAGTTTATATACCATTTAATCAGTGGACTAACCCCAATAAAAAATATTGTTTTGAAAAACGGGAACACCTAAAGTCTCAAACCTATTTAATATTCAAAATATGTCAGTGAATAATGTTTCTATGCAGTAAAACAAAAATATCATACTTTTTAATTTATCTTGATGTATGTGGGCTAACCCCTACGAAAATATCGAGTTTTTCGATAAAGGCTATACATTAAAGTTTAGCTCTTTTTTGTTGATTTAAAATTACCAAATCAGGTTATAAATTTAAATTACTGTATTTTAAATTTATTTACATGGTACAAGAGCATCGTTTTGAAGTTTTGAACGAGTAATTTATTTTAAGTTCATATACCACTTAATCAGTGGACTAACCCCAATAAAAAAATATTTTTTGGAAAAACGAGAACACCTAAGGTCTCAAACCTCTTTAATATTCATACTATGGCAGTGCATGATGCTTCTATGCAGTAAAACAAAAATATCATATTTTCTAATTTATCTTGAAATGTGTTGGCTAACCCCTACAAAAAGATCGAGTTTTCCGATAAAAGCTATAAATTGAAGTTTAGGCTCTTTGTTGTTGATTTAAAAATACCAAATCAGGTTATAAATTTATATTAATGAATTTTAAATTTATTTTCAGTGTGAAAGAGCATCTATTTGGATTTTTGAACGATTAATTTATTTTAATTTCATATACCACTTAATCGATGGACTAACCCTACCAAATTATTTTTTTTTTGTAGAAACGAGAACACCTAAGGTCTTAAACCTCTTTAATCTTCATACTATGTCTGTGCTTGATACTTCTATGCAGTAAAACAAAAATATCATTTTTTCTAATTTATCTTGAAATATGTGGGCTAACCCCTACGAAAAGATCGAGTTTTTCGATAAAGGCTATACATTAAAGTTTCGGCTCTTTGTTGTTGATTAAAAAATACCAAATCAGGTTAGAAATTTAAATTAGTGTATTTTAAATTTATTTACATGGTACAAGAGCATCGTTTTGAAGTTTTGAATGAGTAATTTATTTTAAGTTTATATACCACTTAATCAGTGGACTAACCGTAATAAAATTTTATTTTCTGGGAACACCTAAGGTCTCAAACCTCTTTAATATTCATACTATGTCAGTACATGATGCTTCTATGCAGTAAAACAAAAATATCATAGTTTCTAATTTATCTTGAAATATATGGGCTAACCCCTACGAAGAGATCGAGTTTTTCGTTAAAGGCTATAAATTGAAGTTTAGGCTCTTTGTGGTTAATTAAAAAATACCAAAACAGGTTATAAATTTATATTAATGTATTTTAAATTTATTTTCATGGTACAAGAGCATCATTTTAAAGTTTTGAATGAGTAATTTATTTTATGTTCATATAGCACTTAATCAGTGGACTAACCGCAGTAAAAGTTTATTTTTTGGAGAAACGGGAACATCTAAAGTCTTAAACCTCTTTAATATTCATACTATGTATGAGTATTATAATTCAATGCAGTAAAACAAAAATAACTTTTTTTTTCTAATTTATCTTGAAATATGTGGGCTAACCCCTACGAAAAGATCGAGCTTTTAGATAAAGGCTATAAATTGAAGTTTAGGCTCTTTGTTGTTGATTAAAAAAATAACAAATCAAGTTATAAATTTATATTAATCTATTTTAAATTTATTTTCATGGTACAAGAGCATCGTTTTAAAGTTTTGAATGAGTAATTTATTTTAAGTTCATATAACACTTAATCAGTGGATTAACCCCAATAAAAAATATTTCTTGGAGAAACAGGAACATCTAAGGTCTCAAACCACTTTCATATTCATACTAGTTCATTGTATGATGCTTCTATGCAGTAAAACAAAAATATCCTAGTTTCTAATTTATCTTTAAATATATGGGCTAGCCCCTACGAAAAGATCGAGTTTTTCGTTAAAGTCTATAAATTGAAGTTTAGGCTCTTTGTGGTTAATTAAAAAATACCAAAACAGGTTATAAATTTATATTAATGTATTTTAAATTTATTTTCATGGTACAAGAGCCTCGTTTTAAAGTTTTGAATGAGTAATTTATTTTAAGTTCATATACCACTTAATCAGTGGATTAACCCCAATAAAAAAATATTTCTTGGAGTAACCGGATCACCTAATCTCTCAAACCTCTTTAATATTCATACTAGGTCAGTGCATGATGCTTCTATACAGTAAAACAAAAATATCATTTTTCTAATTTATCTTCAAATATGTGGGCTAACCCCTACGAAAAGATCGAGTTTTTCGATAAAGGCTATAAATTGAAGTTTAGGCTCTTTGTTGTTGATTAAAAAAATACCAAATCAAGTTATAAATTTATAATAATGTATTTTAAATTTATTTTCATGGTACAAGAGCATCGTTTTAAAGTTTTGAATGAGTAATTTATTTTAAGTTCATATAGCACTTAATCAATGGATTAACCCCAATAAAAATTTATTTCTTGGAGAAACAGGAACACCTAAGGTCTCAAACCACTTTAATATTCATACTAGGTCAGTGCATGATGCTTCTATACAGTAAAAAAAATATATCATATTTTCTAATTTATCTTGAAATATGTGGGTTAACCCCTACGAAAAGATCGAGTTTTTAAAAAATGCTATAAATTGAAGCTTAGGCTCTTGATTGTTGATTAAAAAAATTCCAAATCAGGTTATAAATTTAAATTAATGTATTTTAAATTTATTTTCATGGTAGAAGAGCATCTTTTTAAAATTTTGAACGAGTAATTAATTTTAACTTCATATACCTCTTAATCGATGGACTAACCCTAACAAAAATTTATTTTTTTGGAGAAAAAGAACAGCTAAGGTCTTAAACCTCTTTAATCTTCATACTATGTCTGTGCTTGTTACTTCTATGCAGTAAAACAAAAATATCATTTTTTCTAATTTATCTTGAAATATGTGGGCTAACCCCTACGAAAAGATCGAGTTTTTCGATAAAGGCTATACATTAAAGTTCCGGCTCTTTGTTGTTGATTAAAAAATACCAAATCAGGTTATAAATTTAAATTAGTGTATTTTAAATTTATTTACATGGTACAAGAGCATCGTTTTGAATTTTTGAATTAGTAATTTATTTTAAGTTTATATAGCACTTAATCAGAAGATTAACCCCAATAAAAATTTATTTCTTGGAGACACAGGAACACCTAAGGTCTCAAACCACTTTATTATTCATACTAGGTCAGTGCATGATGCTTCTATGCAGTAAAACAAAAATATCATATTTTCTAATTTACCTTGAAATATGTGGGTTAACCCCTACGAAAGATCGAGTTTTTCAAAAATTGCTATAACTTGAAGTTTAGGCTCTTGAATGTTGATTAAACAAATTCCAAATCAGGTTATAAATTTAAATTAATGTAATTTAAATTTATTTTCATGGCACAAGAGCAACTTCTTAAATATTTGAACGAGTAATTTATTTTGACTTCATATACCTCTTAATCGATGGACTAACCCTAACAAATTTTTTTTTTTTTGAGAAACGGGAACAGCTAAGGTCTTAAACCTCTTTATTCGTCATACTATGTCTGTGCTTGATACTTCTATGCAGTAAAACAAAAATATCATTTTTTTTCTAATTTATCTTGAAATATGTGGGCTAACCCCTACGAAAAGATCGAATTTCGATAAAGGCTATAAATTGAAGTTTAGGCTCTTTGTTGTTGATTAAAAAAATCCCAAATCAAGTTATAAATTATATTAATGTATTTTAAATTTATTTTCATGGTACAAGAGCATCGTTTTAAAGT